ATTATTGATACCACATTTTGTCGATATCAATAGAACAAAACTCAGTCGACAATTAAAAGTAATATAATAATACCATTAAAAGTAATATATTTTATCTGTGAAGTAAATCTGATAATCCGCGCATGTGATTGGATAATCTTGCTACTTACCCAACAGGTAAAATTTACCAAAAGTTGGAACAACGGACCTTAATCACTTAAATTTTAACAGGCAAGCGAATTTTCATAAGCGCCGAGGGTCTTTAATAGTATCTCGTCGGTGATCGCACCTACAGATAACACAATAGAACACTGAGTCATTTTATTTTTGTTTAAAATTGGCAAACAAGGATGTAATGATTCACTGTCTTACATTGTGTTAATTATCTGTATCTTTTACTGAAAAGCGCTAGAGCTTTTATATTTATAACATTTTGTTTATATTTATAACATATTGTTTTTATCTGAGTGAATGCCGAAACATCTTCCTATTGGTTGCTTTCATATCCTATTGGTTGCGTTTTCTTATTGGCTATTTTCAAGCACCGTTTTTACATATAATAATTAACCTATAAACGCTTGATAATATTTTAATAATGGTAATACTTAAAATAAGAACCAATTATGAATACCGGCCTTTGATTAGTTCATGACATTTTCAGATTGTACTTAAGATGTACATTCCTTAATACAAAATCGATTATGAATACTGGCTTAAATCATATGATTACAGAATGTTTAAATTCTTTATTACAATATATTCAATTAGATCAGACACTTCAACATTAATTATTTACAGTCAATTTTAAGACCGTCTTAAGTACAATTTTAAAGGGATTCTAAAGCCGTCTGTATTACTGACTAAATTATATAATTTTTGTATTAGGTGTTGGAATTAATTCGTAGCGTTTTTTAATGAAAGAATGTTATTTATTTCACATGAGCATTAAAAAATACATTAATGAAAGTACTTCCCATCACTTGTAAAACGCTACGAATTAATTCCAACACCTAATATAACAATTACTTTTTCCTTCTTTTACAAATTCGGAAATTCTTTTCCATGATTAAAGTGTATGCAATAATATGTGTTAAATTCGTAAGGAGGAATTTTCGTTAAGAACGAAAAAATTTTGAAATTGAGATCTTCATTTCTTATAAGAGTCCAATATGGCGTTCTAGAGCTATCATATCGTGACATCATTTGCTTTATATAAAAGCTGTGTAATGTGTACTTACGAAACAGTCCACAGACTATAGTAGTAGAGAAACCTGAGAGTCATTCCGGAGAACATCCCGGCTTTTTTCGTGTATCAAACCAATTACATCGTTGGGTAATGTTTACGTTTTCTTTCTGTTACGTGGTTCTTTTCCTATTGCTATTATGTTATTATGGATTAGACAAGGACGAACAATTAAAGTTGATCATTCGTCTTTGTCTAATCCATGTAATAATATTGAAAAGAACTATAAAAACATTACTTTACGAGGTTTGATACATGAAAAAGGCCGGGATGTCCACTATTAGATTTCTCTCTGCTAGTACATAGTTTGCATAAAGAAACAACATTGAGTTCTTAGAAGACGTCTAATTAAAATGTTATTGTTATACGAAAATTTATGTGTTTACATATACATATACAGGAGATATTGATGTAGTAGTATAGTAATATGTATCCAGTAACAGAATGTCTGTAGAGTGCGCGCATGCGTGTGTAATAATCGTTACACATCATGCAGACACGTCCTCATTTGAAGCTCTCATTGTCCGCATGTGTTAGTGCTGAATGTGTGCGGGCGACATGAGGCTCATGTGAATACTCCAATTGCGATTTGTATCGCCTGCACCCATGAGTACCGTACGTGTGTGAGCGGTATGAATATTAAATAAATTATTTTAAAATGTATATTTCATTTACTCGGTAAACATATTTGAAAAAATATATTATACCTTTATTTTGGAGCTCTTGGAACTTACTTCAAATAATTATTTTATTTACAATTTAAACATTTAAGAACTTTTCTATACTGTGACTTTTATTCTATTTTGTATAGTCTTTTAAATTCGAGAAATTTAAGGAGGGAATTTCTAAACTAAAGAAATTATCGACAATTGCAGATTGTCAATTTCTCCGAATTCCATACAGCACAGAAACTTGTAGCAACATTGCTGCAACATTTCAATATTGCAATACAATGTTGGAGAAACATTGCGAAAACTTCTTTTTGCAATATTATTTCAGCAATGTTACAGCATTTAAAATATTTTCAGCAAGAGACACAAATTGACACAAGAGTAATCTTGTCCTTGTTCAAAAATCAGTAAAAAACAAAAACAAGAATGGCTCTTGTCACTGTGTCGATTTGTGCCTCTGCTATAAAGCTCACTTTGAGTGTTAAGACTTGTATATATTGATTTGTGTACAACCCAACAAAGGACCTGGACATAATGGAAGAATAGGAATTAATGATCACGGCACACTTAATTAGGTTTCATAATATCTGTAGTTATGAAACTGACCAATCTCATAACTATATTCCTCTGAAAAATGGAATGAATGATTAGTTTCTAACTGCGAATATTATTAAACGATTAATCATTTCTATATAGATTAATTTTAATCTCAGTTCAACTTATCTTTGTCTTTTTCTAGTTCTAAAGATTAGAAAAAGATGTTAGAAAAAAATGAAGAGTAAGTTGAACCGAGATTAAAGTTAATCTACATTAGTGGAAACGGGCATAAGGTATAAACATAATCAATATCTATAATTTATAGGAGTTGTACCTATAATTTATAGACATAAAACAATTAAATGTAAAGATTAAATATAATGCACAATGGATAATAATAAGATATAAGACGTATAATATAAAAAATTAGAAGTAGGAGTTAAATGTAACATACAATGAATACAAATAAAATATGACTTCATAATTAATTATGTCTTTATATTTTATAGGCATGTTTCGATATGCACAGCTAGTACTGAAAATTTACAGTTCACGTTACGTATACTGTAGATTTTCAGTACTGATAGTGTATATCGGAATACGCCTATAAAATATAAAGACATAATTAATTATAAAGTTATATTTTATTTGTATTCATTGTATTATCATACAATGATTATTAAAGTAAGAGAAAATTAGAAGTAAGAGTTACATTTAACTCTTACTTCTAATTTTTTATGTTTAAATTTATATAGTATAAAATCTTATAATAAATGTTGCAGTAACGTTGTAATATTACAGCAATGTTGCTGCATTATTACAATGTTTCTGCAATGATACTGCAAGTATTCCTCCACTATGCGCAAACCTAATATTGCATATATATATTATGTTGTAATATTGCTGCAACATTACGTATCAATATTTTTAAAACATTTTTACGTTGCTGCAATGTTGCTAAAATATTGCAGCAATATTTCGCAATATTTTTGCAATGTTGCAATCTTGCAATGAAATATTTTTGTAATGTTGCTGCAATATTTCTGTGATGTATAGGATTGGCTTTATAGATCACCAAATCTTTTTACGCAATAAAAGTACGCAAAAAAAACTGGCCACGCTAAATTTGACAAGAAAATCGGGAGAAAAGAATTCACTTGATTTCAGCTCTTACATTTATCACCTCAGGTTGTAATTTCCTTAATGCAGAAATTTTATAAGTTATACGTATCAAATGATACTTTCTCCGGAAGCGTATATGCACAAATAATCTTGAGCTTATGAAATTGTAATCGAAGGCCTAACAAAAAAGATTTTCTAAAATTGAAGTTGTCTTTTGTGTATAACAATTACTTTCTTCTTTTTTTACAGATTTGAAAATCTTTTTCCAGGATTAAAGTATATATATTAATATGTGTTTGTGAAGTGAAATTTATTCCTAGAATAGTAAAAAATTTCGAAATTAAAATCTTAAGAAATATTTTTTGTCGTTTTTAATATAAACTCTACCTTACAGACACGTATTAATGCGTATACTTTAATCCTGGAAAAGAATTTTTGAATTTGTAAAAGGGGAAAAAAATAATTATTATACAAAAATTATGATTAGTCGGTAATACAGACGGCTTTAATACTGGATCCCTTGAACTCGCTACGTCTTTCTGTTGATAGTGCTGCGTATTGCTTGACAATGTATATGTAAATTTTCTGTTCAAAACAGGTTATTATATTTCGATTTGAATGTTTCTTTAATAGATGTATTCGGAAATAAATTCTAAAGAGAACAGTGAGAGCCGAATTTAGAGTTTCATTGTTTGTGCAAAAATATTTAAATGAAGTAAAAATAAATTAGCATCTTTTTACTAAATAATTTTTTATCTGATTATAAGCATATTTTAACAACTTCGCTAAAAATGAATACTATCCCACATCATAAAAGAAATAACAATTAAGTAAGTATTTAACTTAAATTTTATTAACGAATTATTGAAATAAATTATGAATCTTTTCACGCGCGCTTTTTCACAGAAATAATTGAACCAAAGTTATAACAATAATGTTCGAACGGATCTTTGGCAATCCGTCCTAAGCCTTATGCGTTAAGACAAATGCGTTATTATTCTTATCTATCGATTATTTCCAAGAATATTACTAAGGCCTCGGTATAGTCTAAAGACTTAGGACGCTCGCACGGAATGCCAGAGATTGGACTTCCGAGGTAATATTTTTCGCAATAAATTTATTTACAGTTTTTCAGTGTATTAACATCTTTCTAATAGAATGTTTGATTAAGCATCAAATTATTAAATTGCTTGTCAATGTTAATTTATAATATTACTATAGTTTAATTGTGTTTATAAGTCCGAAAAACTAATTCGGCGTGTAGTTCAAGTAACTACATATTTAGTATATAAATTCACATAGATATTATTTAAGCATCTAAGATTCAACTTCGACCGTTATAGGCTTTAAACTTTTACTTGTTATATATTTACATATTATGTTTTAATAAATCGTTTATTATTATATATAATGAGAACAAAGATACTGTCCTAAGTTTTAACTTACAGGGGAGTGATTTTTCACATAAAGAGATCCACCTCACCTTCCCCTTGCCAAGGGATGTCCGACTTTCCACACGAAACGAGTTTCAGTCCACTTCTCCTCCCTCCTGTCAAGAGGTGCACTAATAATTATTAATTCGTTGTAGTTTGTTGTTAAAGCGAGACACTTGTAGAATTTTATTTTCATTCGTTCGATGTTGTTTGTATGATAATCTATTCTATGCTGATTCATTCCACTAGTTGATTTCAGTAAGAAATGTAAACATAATATGATAAATATAATAACTTTATCATATAGGATGTCAAAAAATTATATAATATTTATGATTCTTTATTTCTCGATAATTTTTTAACGAATGACAAGCGATGGCTAAAATGTTCAAGGTCAGTCGGAGTGATGACCTTGATAACATATGTCAAGATCAAGATCATCGGAGGAGTGGTCGTGTCTCTGCATAATTATCTTACTATTTATTAATTACTATAAAAATTAGGACTTATATTTTTTAATATATTTCTTCTGATTTTAAATTTATTTGTGTAACAATTGTGTGATAAGATCTTAATCAATTCAATAAAATAAAGGCTACGCTGGTGAAAACTTTTCTCGCAAATTTTTCATATAATTTTTTAGAATTTTTATATAATTTTTCAGAATTTCTCTATAATTTTATAACTTTCTCACATTTTTTTATACAAATTGGAACATTTTTCAGAAAATCTACATCTTTTCTCAAAATTTTTCATATATGTTAATTATGAAATATCATAAGATTTTTAAGATTTTTTGTAAGTATAATTTCTAATGAAATTACAAAATCTAAAAAATTTAAAAATACTTTTTAAAAATTATGAGTTGAGAAATTTCAGAACATTTCAGAATTCACTTGTATGAGAAATTCTGAGAGAAGATATAAACTTTCCAAATATTTTTGAAAAATGTTCCAATTCGTATAAAAATTATGAAAAAAATTTTCACCAGAGTAATAATTGCATTTAGTATTAAAAGCGTTAAATATCTGTTGTGAATCTGAGTCAAAATAATATTTAAATGATACAGTAAATGAATTAACTTGACTTGGAAAGCAGCAACATTTCGAGGTTTACCTCATCGATCGGCCTTATTCGCCAAGACGGATCGTTAATTCTATTTCTACTAACCGCTCTAAAAATAATTTATTAATTCTGTTTTATTAGAATGTATATGCTTTGTATCGCTTTATATATAATTCTATAATTTTTTAAGTTTATTACAATATTTTTTTTTATCATGAAGTGTTGAATTAGTACTTATATGGATATATGTACCAGTCAATGTGTGTGAATTTTAATTCGATAAATAAATGTATTCAGAAGTAATAACAAATTAGCACTTTTACTAGCAGAAGCACACATTTTCATACCTGATTCAATAAAAGTATATTGCACAAACAAAAATGCATCAAAATTAAAATGAATGTTCTTGCTAGTAAATGTACGCATCAATCACATATAACATTTATGAATTTGATATGTCACGCCTGTTTGTAAATGTTTAATTTGCAGTTAATTATTATTTACAGTTAAAATTTCCATTTTCATTTTTTAAACATATTTTAAAAGATCATGCCACACTATAAATATATGTTACACTAAAATTTACTAAACACTAAAGCTCAATCAATGTACATTTACTAACAACGAAAAATACCCAAGTATCCCTCTCCTATTTTGATGAAATTTGAATATGTTTATATTTGAATACTTTTAGACAAGAATAGAAGACTCAGTTTCTTTTATTATCAGATCTTTTAATGGCTGAAACACTTGTTAAAAAAAAATCGACTATTACATTTCAAAGCAAATATTGTCGAAGCTATGTCCCAGCCAACATATAGTATATTTGTAAAATATTTACAAAATATTTAAAAGATATATTTAAATATTTATAAAACATATATTGAGATATTTTTCAAATATTTTTGTGGATTTAGACTGCACAAATCATGAAGCTTTATCGTAAATATTATAAAATATTATCATAAATGTTGTGGTAAACATTATGAAAATATTTAATAAAGCATTATAATCCCAGTAAAAAATTAATTATGTTAAAATATGTATTATCAAATAGCATCTTGTTCCAAAATATACGACAAAATTATGATAAAAAAACACTTTCTCTTGAATTAATTCGATTCCAATAAACAAGATGATATATTATATGTTTAAATTAGATATTTACGGGAGATCTAAACATTATAAGGATACAACATGTATTAATTCTGATAATAATTTTAGTTGTAATATCTGAGATAGACGTTGTCATATATTATATGTATTATTTTTGTTAACGTCCTTCTCTAATCATTTCAAATCGAACTTAATAAACGCAATGTTATCGCAACTAAAATTATATGAAACTGATATACGTTAAACTTATTATACACGGAGAATAAAAATTGCTATAAACGCTAATCCTATGCTATAAAGGCAAATTCCATTTGCAAATATAAGGATCGCAAATTATTTGCAGGTGTCATAAATATTTACTCTTATTCACACTCGCTACAAAAATTATTTGCAACAAATTCAAAATATTTATCAAATATACAAATTAGTTTACTATAAACATCAAACAAATTTGACAATTAAATTTGGTAATTCTTTTCGCGTTTATAGGAAATTTTTTTTCTCAGTGCTACATTTGCTTCTGTAAATACTTTATACCAATATTATCGTGTTTTTTATTGGTACTTACTTTAAGCAACTCGAACCTGGGACCTCCGGATCATGAATCTTCTACTATACGTGCTACACTACTTACTGTCTATTTATGTTATAATCAAGTCATACTTTTAATATATTACATTTATATTACATATTGTTGTATTTCTATGTACTTACGTGTATTATACTTCCATTTTTTTTATTGGGAATATGTGCTCAACCTTTTATTAACGTATTATATTTAGATATCATATCATATTAAATCTGTTTAATATTTTATATCTTAAAAACACTTTGTTTTTTTTTCTTTTCTTTAACTATTAATTTGAAAATGGTGTCGAATAAAATGGTATCGAATCTGATTGATTCGAAAGATGAGAGTTAGGAACTTCAGCGAAGCAAGCACCGCGTAGCTAAAACGGGCGATCTACGTGGTATTGTGCGTGCGTGCGTGCGTGCGTGCGTGCGTGCGTGCGTGCGATTGTAATGTTTATCGTTGTTGTGATCTGCGAGTTCATATTTATAAAATCATAGTTCAAATAAACTTTCAACTTAATAAGGGAACACAATCAGTTGTATGTCGCTGATTTAAATGAGCTTTTGGTATATTGTTCTACAGACAAAAATAAGAGACATGTATTTTTTTATACGTGCTGAGTCGCATGTTAAGGGGGTAAAGAAAATCTCCTCTCTCTTGAATCCTCCCTTGAAGAAAATCGGTTTTTTTTCGAAACGAATATTTTCGAGAAATAGAAGAGATAGAAAAAAATTTCTAGAATGAAAATTGAATGATTGCAAGAATACTTTATAACTATAATAGAATAAATTTTTTTTAGTTATTTATTTATTGTATACCCCCCCCCCATACCGCTCTCTTCACTCCTATTTTCAAAAATTTTTTAATTTTTTATATGATCAAAATTAAAGAGTATTTTACGCTGAAAACAACGATGTGTATTTAAATCATATTCCGAAAAGAGATATGAATGAAAACGTCTCTATATACGCGCTCCGTACCTACGTATTCATCTCATATCAAGTTAGTTGCGCGAGATAACGAGGCAACACAGTTTATCACAGTGCAGTAGTGAAATAAGTTTTGTAAATAATAATAATAATAACAATAATAATAATAATAATACCAACAGCAACAGTGACTTTGTCAACCTGCTAAAATCAGTCAAATACTTTTGAAGGTACGTTTATAAAAGAATATACAAAATATTTTGAACAATTAAGAACAAAGCATTAATAAAGAAATTAATACTTTAATAAAATTTTATTTCATTTTCATCGTAGAGCAGCTAATTCTATTTAATATTGACATCAATAATGTATTTATAAGGCATCATCTTGATAATGCTTTCGCACACGGAAAAAATTGCTATAGTTACCACAACCAGAAATAATGATAATGATATGTTCATTTTACAGTTATCACAATCAAATGTATTGATGAACGAAAATTATCATTTCCGATTGTAGCGTTTTTTCCATGCAGGTATTTTTAAAGATGAGGGTTAGCTGGTTATCGCTGTGTTTTTATCCATATACTAATGCCGACGTTTTTTGAATCTTTTATTTTATTAGGGCGAGGTCACTGATACTGATATGATATGTCTTATTAATGCAAAAAATCGATTTGCTCCTATGTGCAATAAATCAGTATATGCAGCATTGATTGTGCATAGTCAGTTGATTTTGCTATGGAAATAACGTGCAAGTACGGTGCTTCATATAAATTGAAAATGGATAAAATGTGCAACTATGAAACTTGTGAATATAAATTTGAAGTAACCTGTAAATGCGGTACTTCTTATGAACTCATGACAAAAAAAGGTACTTCATTATTAACAATTTATATTGCATTTATTAATAATATATGTTTTTAATACACTTTCCTTTCTACTTATTAATTTATAAAAAAACATTATAATAACTGTGTAAACTTGCATATCCTATTTTATAATCAATGTCAGAGACGTCTAGCTAATAATGAAAAAAAAACAATTTGTCGCAGAATGCCGATAATAATTTACAAGTACTCTGGAACTCAATTTCGAACTTGTACTCGAGATCCAATGGAATTTTCTCGAATATTAGAAGTTTTTAGTCGAGGAAATTCTTTTGAAATATTACCAAAACTGACGATGGAATTTGCAAGGATTGAGGTAGATAGGCGGAAATTTGTAAGTACTATTATTTGTGCATGTGAGAAAAACATTAAAAAATATGGTACGTTAATTACATAAATTTATTTTTATATTTACAGAGTATGAATTGAGAAGTAATGGTATTATAGAAATCTAATATTGACTAATATTGAAAGACAATAATTAATTACTTATTTTAACAATAAGTATGAAAAGCATTGTTGTTCAGTACTCTTACAATTAGTATTTCAAATAAGTACTAATAATTAATTATATATTATAATAATTAATTATATATTACTGTACTTCATATCACTGTAATAAATTGGCTAGCATATACATATATATAATTTGTTTTACTTTCTTTATTTGCAATTCTACGATATGATACTTTTAAAGTTATTGTTAATTTTTGATGTTTTTATTAATATAATATGGTATTTGTATTGATATAAAATGTCAATAATCAATATTTGTTTTTATTTTGTATTTACTATAATTAAAACGTGAAAAGCACACACCATGTGTCTTTTTTTAGACATTGCTTAAAATTATTTCTTTACAATGTGTACATGTAAATCATTACAATATTTACGGTTCATACAGATTACAAATATGATGATCATGGAAAAAAGATACAGAGAGATTTTTTGCATCATGCGCAAATAATTACAACTATTTCACCACAAATATCGCATGTTGCTTTCGAATGTTTTTGAAAACAAAAATCGACCGGTCAAATTCTGGCCTATGTTCCACTTTTGTACCAAGCGTATTTAAACAAGTTAGTAAATCTTGACGATGAAAACTGATTGTGCGTTAATGACTGTAATTTTAAAATAACGTTTCTAGAATGAAGTTTTACATCAAGATCTAAAAGCATGACTACATCTGAAAAATGCTTGATGAAATTTTTTCTTAAACGGAATCCTAACGGTTGTATTTTTCCTGTTGTTCCAGCCGATATAATTAATAAAACAATATCTTGTGCAGAATCTGGTCTATTTCTTTGAATTATACCCGGACAATGATCAGTCCATGAATCTAACAATAAAACTGAATTTGGTCCATTTGGATAATATAATGTACTTTTCTTATCCAAGTTTCAAAATGATTAGATGTTAATTTACCAGATTTTAACATAATAAAAATGTTGTATCCTAGGACTTAATGTCCCACTAGGTTCTTTTAAGAAGTATATAAGAAGTAGAGATAATAATCTACCATCGGCTGAAATAACAGGTTGTATTGTATAACTGTGCGTAATCGCAGATATTGACTGTGCTACAGATTCTACTTTTTTTACACCTTTCTGTGCCAATGTACAACCAGCATGCAATTCTAATTGAAGATCACTCCGAATTATATACATTTTCAATTCCATAACGGTCAATATAATATTTGACATTTTCAATAAACCTATTGCTGTCTGCTTGTAAAGCTACCTTTGACATTAAAGCTTTTTTATAAATTTCATAACTTTTCTAGATACAATTTGTTGCGCGAGCTTAAATCTTCTAACCCATTCGTGTGATGCTTTAAAACCTAATAAGTTTACTTGCGCTTGCAAAGCTCATCGTGTAATATCAATATCATAGATCATTGCCCCTTTACGAGCTTCAATAAATTTATCTAATGTGTATACTGAAATTCGTTCCAACTTTTCAAGTCTACTACCACCTACATTCATTTGCTTTTCCCATGTCGTAATTGGTCTGCTGACATTACTTTCCGAAATCTTGATTTTACAGATTCATGTTCTCGACTTATCATTTCTCCAATATTCAACTGCTCCTTTTTTATATTCTGCTGAAATATCGTCGATGTCACAAACCATTTCTTTTACATTGCGTGTATAATTTTCTTCTTCATCTACGAGTTCTATTTCTTGTGCTTCTGGTACATCATATGAGTTCAAAAAATCCAACGATTCTTCTTGTTCAATTTCATAGTAGTTTTCGTACATTTTTTTTATTATCTTTTCCATTTTTCTCTGCATCGTAACTTCTTCTGTTGTTATAGGACCTTTCTGGAAAGTCCACAACAGTAAATACTGCAAACAGCAGTATTATAACATTTCGTGGATTAAACCGCATTATTTTCTAAAAATTATAAATATTATTTACATGTCCATTTTCAATATAATAATTACTAAAAGAAAGAGAAAAAAGTTTTTATTGTCTATTTCATAATAAATTTGATATCTTCTTATTTGATTATCATTCAAAGGAATTCATTGAACAAGGGAAAAGACAATTTTGTACAATGTATGTATGACATCTTCCTACAAGTGTTTTATTTTAAAAATATTATCAAATTATAAATATATTGTTTCATCAAATCCTAACAGTTGAATACTATTTTTCGTCTAGATTAATAAGACGCAATGTTTTGCAATACATTATTCATATTAACATTGAACACTGCAATTAGCTACTGTACGACCAACATATAATGCAGTTATAAAAAATAAATACTTATTAGCCAATTAGCCAACAGTAACATTAGCAATTAGTAGTACTTATTCGAAATCAAAAACGAAACTGAATTCATTCCAACGATTTGTCCCTTTTTATACTTATGTCATTAACATACGCAGACAAAAATTATTGTTTTATCTATGTCAGCAAATCTACATATTTTTTACATCGCCTTATCAATACATTATTGATGTCAATATAAATGGAATTAGCTGTTCTACGATGAAAATGAAATGAATAAAATTTTATTAAAGTATTAATTTCTTTATTAATGCTTTGTTTTTAATTGTTCAAAATATTTTGTATATTCTTTTATAAACGTACCTTCAAAAGTATTTGACTGATTTTAGCAGGTTGACAAAGTCACTGTTGCTGTTGGTATTGTTATTATTATTATTGTTATTATTATTATTATTTACAAAACTTATTTCACTACTGCACTGTGATAAACTGTGTTGCCTCGCTATCTCGCGCAACTAACTTAATATGAGACGAATACGTACGGAGCGCGTATATAGAGACGTTTTCGTTCATATCTCTTTTCGGAACATGATTTGTAAATACACATCGTTTGTTATAATACACACATTGTTTTCAGTGTAAAATACTCTTTAATTTTTTGGTCATATAAAAAATTAAAAAATTTTTGAAAATAATAGTGAAGGGAGCAGTATAGGGGGGGGGTATACAATAAATAAATAACTAAAAAAAATTTGTTTTATTATAGTTATAAAGTACTCTTGCAATCATTCAATTTTCATTCTAGAAATTTTTTTCTATCTCTCATAGTTTCGAAAATATTTGTTCCGAAAAAAAAAAATTTTTCTTCAAGGGAGGATTTCAAGGGAGAGGAGATTTTCTTCACTCCCTTAACATGCGACTCAGCACGTATAAAAAAATACTTGTCTCTTATTTTTGTTTGTAGAACAATATACCAAAAGCTCATTTAAATCGACGACATACAAACATACAAACATACTGGTTGTGTTCCCTTGTAAGATTATACGCATCAGTTTATCAAATATTTCCCGAACAAAATCCATATGTACGATATACCATTAAGTACGTTAGTGATTCTTAATACATTGTTTAAAAAAATGTTTTTCGCAAATTATAAACGTATTAAAATACGTTTATTTAATTAAAATATTATATACTATTTTTACACGTATTTTAAACGTTAGTGTTTCATAAACTATTTTTTAACTATATGCTATATAATGCTAATTCCAATTTCATATCATACTTATGTTCAATAAACGCATAATGTATCAAACGCATAATGTGTTTATTGGGTGCTTCGGAAGTAGTTCTAAAACTCGTTCTAAAACTGTATTCAGGGATGGATCTAATCAATAACTTTTCAAATTAAATCATATATCTAATTAACAAATGATACAACAGAATTCAATTCAGAATATTATTCAATTTACGATTGATTTAAGCAAATGTAATTGAAATTTTTGGATTGATGATTCACTCAAAGAGAGTTAATTGAAAAAAAATCGCTTAATGTTTAATTAATAGTCGACATGAGCGAATTAATCCAATTAAAGATAATTAAATTAATTATTGATTTAAGCCAAATTAATCGAAGATTGTCTGACGATTGATTTAAGCAGAAGTAATCGGAAGTCGTTTAATTGACAATTGATATGAACAAATTTAGTTAAAGATCATTCGATTAACGATTGATTTAAACCAAATTAATCGAAGATCGCTCGATTGACGATTGATTTAAGCGAAATTAATTGGAAGTTATTTAATTGACAATTGATATGAGCGAATTCAATTAAAGATAAATTAATTGATGATTGATTTAAGCCAAATTAATCGAAGATTGTCCGATTAACGACTTAAAGAGATATATTTTTTTGGCATAGGTCTCAAAATATCATTCTTGTTTTCATTTTTAATACTTTAAATTTTTTAGAGTAAAGAGTAAAGCAAACGAACTAATAAAAAATCTTTATGTCCTATCTTTACACGAAATAAAGGCCTCTAATTGATTAATTTTCTTACGCCCTTTGCATAATGCGTTATGCAAAAGTGTGTGCTCCCGGCTTTAAGGCAATAAGGACATAAGCAATAAGCGAAATAACAATCACAATCACAATCACAATAGAAATCGTATAATATTTCTTGCATCACGAACTTTTATACATATTATTAGGGCACACAAAAAATTTAAGCAGTAAAACAGTAAGCGAGTTGGTTACAGTAAAGACTGTAAAGCCATATATACATTACACTATTTTTTTCAAAAGACTTAGCAATTTAAGAAGGATCGCAGCACACAAAAAAAGTTAAGCAGTAAAATATAAGTAGTAAGGAAATCAACGTGTTGGATTAGTTACTGCTTACATAGCTTAAGTTTTTTTTGTGTGTGATGGCCCTTAGATTACTGACTCTTTGGAAAAAAGTAATCTCCAATAATATTGATTTATACATATGCGTCAAGTGGTAACCTTGAAAGATATAAAGAAATGCGCCATGCTTGTATATGTATTAGTATTAATATATGTGGATATAATATATGTAGAGATCCTGGGTGATATCATGATGTAAGAATATCAGAGACCTGATTCTATAAAGGCCGCAGCACAGCCTTTTGCATAACGTATAATGCATAAGCGAATCAACTAATCAGACTCTTTTCTTTCCTTCTATTCCATAGAAAAAAAAAATTTCGATTGGTTGATTCCCTTATATACTCTGCAAAAGTCTGTGCAGGCTCTGTAACTCGTGCAATTATTATGAACTCATAATGACAATTGCGCAGATATTTTATATAAAAAAGCTGAAGTTGAAGGGACATACCTAGCACAACGAATAGCAAAAGCCTGCCTCGTCCATTGTGATCAGTTACATATCTCACATTAAGGTATACATGTCAATATATGTATTTGTATTAAAATAAGTGACCCTGATAGCAAAATGCTAGCAAATTGTGAGCAAATTGGTAGCAAATTCGAGCAGATTCCCATTTACATAACCATAGCCATATGTATCCGGAAGTAAAAAAGCTGCACAACTGTCGTTATGAATTCATAACGACTGTACAAGGAGTCACAGAATACAAGGACTGCGGCCATAATTCTTAACGATGCTGTCAATATCGTCATATTGCGCAGATGTTATACTTGATAATTAATGATAATTGACGAAAACCGTCCATATAAAATTTTAATCGGATAATAATTTAGTGCTTTCCATTTGGAAAGTACTAAATTTACACAAATCGACACAAGCATCATTCTTTCTTTCTTAACATTCAATGAGTAACAAAAATAGAAAGATATTCGACTTTTGTCACTAAATGGAAAGCTTAATGATATCCGGTTGTCCGATTGGATACTAAAAAGATATCGAATAATGACGGATATTTTCTGGATATCCGGTGCATTCCTATTTTATACCATAATCAATTTTATACTTTTCATAAACGCATAATATACCAACATGTATCAAATACAATAAAGAAAGTCAAAATCGGTCAAATTTTGGATGTTATAAATAATACATTATATACTCTTTTATTAAATCAATTTATTCCAGATATAATTGCGAACCGATAACTTTCGGTTTCAACACAATCATTCTGAAACACTAATAATCTCCCCTAAATTATATGGCCGCATGTATACAAATTTTTTACAATAAATGTCTTACTTTCTTTCTTTTTTTTTTCTAATTTAATTTAGAGATTATTAGCGTTTTAGAATGATTGTGTTGAAACTGAAAGTTATCGGCTCGCAATTATATCTGGAAAAATAAATTGATAATAAAAATTAATTGATTTAATAAAAGAATATATAATGTATTATTTATAACATCCAAAATTTGATCTTGGCTTTCTTTATCGCATTTGATGTATTCACATGTACGGTCCTGCTTAAAATTCTTAATATGTTTATACCAATATGTGTTTATTGGAAATATCTTCGTATTAGTACAATATTTTTACTCAAAAGAGAGACATCTTAGGGACACGTTCTTAATAGGCAATATGATAATTAGCCTATATAATTTTCTCTCTTTATCTCTTTTCTCTCTCTCTCTCTGTCTTTCTCTTTTAATATTATTCTTATTTTATATAATTATGCTAAGTGAAATATTGATGTGTATTTATGTGTTATTGTAATAAAGATTTGAGAAATACGATTATACTCTTTGACTGTGAAAAACTTTTTTTACACACAATTACAATCATACAAGATAATATCATAATTGGCGGTATTATTTACTGTTTTTAGATGGTGACGATTATTTGTCTATGCTAACATGACAATGAAATGCTAAAGAACTTTCCTTTCATAAAAATGGATGAAGAAAGCCATATTCGTCGATGAATGTTAGTAAAAGTTGAAGGGACATACCTACACAACGAATAGCAAAAGCCTGCCTCGTCCATTGCGATCAGCTATATATCTCACATTAAGGTATATCAATATATGTATTTGTATTAAATAAGTGATCCTGATAGCAAAATGCTAGCAAATTACGAGCAAATTGGTAGCAAACGAGCAGATTCCCATTTAACTGCTGGAAGTAGTAGGAATCAAGTGTTGTGTGTCTTTAGTAATGCGTATTGCCTCCTTTCGCATTTATCAATTCATGTATTCGTCGAGGCATACTATCAATTAAATATCTTATTTCGTCTTATCTAAAATTATACTATTCCTCCTGCCGTTGCAGAGATAATACACATTACTAAAGATACATAATGCACACAAGCACGTACGTATGTACACGCCTAAAAGGAAATTAAAAACTCGAATAAACAAACATAAGGCTGACAGATCCATCTCTGGGATGTCAGTGGTTTCACGTCACCAGTTGAATGAGATGCATCAATTGGATTGGGATAACATAGAATTTTAGACACAGAACAATTATTAATGAAAAGAAGAATTTCTGAAATGATATACATCAAAGACCAAATAAGTGGTATATCAATAAGCATAGTGAAGGTTTGCCTGATGTTTATCTGCCTCTTCTTAAGAAAGATGTCTCTCACACTTAATAAATAATTTTAGAACTTTCTAAACTTTTGACTTATATATATATATAAATAGTGGTAACATATATGATATGACAAATAATAACGCACAATGTGTTATTAATCACGATAAATTTCCATCTGTGTAAAGGATGTACTTGAGATTCATCATTTTTTGTTGTAAAACAGGTAACGATTCTATTCTTATACATTTCGATTAGAAGATATTAATGATAATTTGTTAATTTGTTAAATTAGAATCTGGAAATTCTTGTTGTACATATTTTGTAATATGATAATTGGCGCTGTAACATTGTTGTACGAGGCACCTTCACATGATGAAAGAACACGTTTATATATAATTATATCACATGATGGTTGAATTTAATTCAATTATCAGCTATATATAATTCTGCGTTTTAAGAATATTGTGAATTTACTGAAGATGGTCAGATTGTGGCCGAAACGTCTAATGTTTTATTAATGTAATGATAATTAAATATCACAAACAATATTCTGTTTATATTCTGTTATTAATCTTCAATACGATGGTTTTTTATGCTCTTCTTTTCATACGTTTAAAAAAAAATTTTTTTTTAACTATTTTGCGATGTCCGCCTTCAACGTCCGCCATTTTGTATTACATTTTGTGTAACTCAAATTTGCTCTCCATGGTCATCAAAGGGAATGCTCAAGCTTTAACTTGAGCTGTTTATCTCGATACGATGATTTTTTTATTGAATTATTGTTATTTAAAGATATTAAAAATTTGTGTTAAAATTTAATGGTCCATTTTCTTACCGATGTGTACTATACCCTCGACATTAGAATTTTAAGCGTTGTTATTCTTTCTGTTGATACTCTTTATTGTTCAGTCTTTACTGAACACCCTGTATATACTGGTATAAAAACTGAAAACAATAATTAATGCAGTTTTAACATTAAAATATTATTGATTAGATCAGATTTTAAATTTACATATGAAATAGTTAAAAAAAAAACATTCGGAGCCTAGTAAAAAATTTCTCTAAATTTCTCTGAAAATTTCTTTGAAAAAATATATAAAATTTTCTGAAAATGTCTGTATTTTCGGACACGTTGCCGAACTTTTCAAAGAATTTTTCAGAGAATTTTTAAAAATTTTCATAAAATTTATTATATTCATATATTTTATTAGTATATTCATATATTTTCAGAATTTATCAGAGATTTTCAGCGATTTTCAATACGATACTGGGAAAAAAATTCATATTTTAAGACTTATAAATTTTATTTCTTTTTTTAATAGAAGTTATTCCATGCAAGATATACGTGTAACGATTTTACCTGAAATAATTGAAAATATAATTATCTAGTGGATCCAGTGAGAAATGACTATGAAATCGATATCAATATCGATTCGACGTCGAAATCATCGAATTGACATCGATCCCATAGTCATTTCTTACTGAGAGATTCGAACCTGGGATCTTTGGAAAATGAGTTTTCCTACATTACGTGCTACACTGTTTCTTCAATTGATAAGTATATTATTTATTGTTTATTTAGATTTCAGAGACATCATTGAATTCCTGCAAAATTCAAGGACTTTGAGATCTTTGAAAATAATTTTCAAAGAAACTGACAACCTCCGAAAAGTGAGAAACTACGAAAATTCTATTTTCCAAAATATCACTAAATTTAATTCAAATTCCAATTTAACGAAATTTGAGGACTGTTATACGCTTAGAAATTATTTTCAGAGAATTTGCTAAAAGTCTTTAAAAAGTGAGAAACCATGAAAATTCTATCTTCAGAGATATCATTGAATCTTCAAATTTCAGCTAAATTCAGGAATTTTTAGATACTTGGAAAATGACTTTCAGAGAATTCGCTGAAAATTTCTGAAAAGTGAGAAACTATGAAAATTCTATCTTTAGAGACATTATTGAATTTCCGAATTTCAGTGAAATTCAGAGCCTTTCAGATACTTAAAAATAATTTTCAGTGAAATCGCTGATAATTCCTGAATTTTTTTTAGAAAGTCTTTGAATGTTACCGACGAGATACTATTAAAGATCGTTAAGGGGATGCTGGAGCGAAGGCCGAAGTTGATCAAGGTCGATATTACAGGTTTTCATTTCCAATGTATAAGCTGCTTTCGCCCTCTGAAGTTAATATGATCATGCAGGAAATTCGATCGATTAATTATCGATATTTTTATTCCGTTTCCTACATTACCATCTTAACAGGGACGTGTATTAGGGTCGGTTTCACAATGTAAGATTTATTTTGGAAAATTTTCCAATTTTAGAATTGAAAAAAAAATAAACATAATTGAAGTTAATCTTATATTTGTAGAATCGGATCTTAGAAATTTAGTTGCATTATATACATATTTAGTTGTATTATATACACATGCAATGTAGGCCGTGTTCTAATATATATCACCAGTACTAAAAGTCTGTAATATACATAAAATACAGATTTTTAATTAAGATATATCGATACGAAGCCGTAATAGCACTTTTTTCTTACATCCAATGCCATTTTAGGTTACGATAATATATTATCATAAATGAACATCATAATATATATATATATATATGGATATTCATGCAGATATTCTCTATGTCCATTTTTAAGCAATATTAAAATTTTATATTATAATGTGTATAATGATATATAAAATGTAATTCTAATGTTGTATATAAAAAGACATTCATGAATACGAATTACAATTACATTTTATGTGTATTATAATATATGTGTATATACACAATAACACAAAAAATATTATTGACATATTAGTGAAGACATAAACATGTTAGTGAATTAATGATATATGCAATATTAAAATTATATTTTG